TCCTCAAACACCCTCTGCCCCCCATGTCCAGAAAAGGCCCCCACGAGGTCAGCACCTCTCCGAGCACACAGGCTTTCAAAGCACCCAGGCTTGCCTGCTTCAAAGCTCATGGTCACAAAGATATTGCAGAACTTCAAACAGTAAACACACTAAGGCAATGCCAGGACCTAAAAGGATTTAAACACAATGCGAAAAATGCTGGCAAAACATGAAAGTGGGATTTTCTGGGGTTTGAGGCACTATCGAGGCGTGAGGAGATGGGGCATGTAAGGGAAGGACTTTGGGCAGGGTATGAAGTTGCTGGCCGCCCCGGGGCCTCCCTCGGCAGCCTGCAAGGCCAGGGGACAGCAGCCCCCAGAGTTCTGGCTCCTGGGACAGCCCCCCGCAGACCGGCCGCTACCTTCGGGGCTGGCTTGTGTACCGCCAATGTGGCTGAGGATGGAGTCCTGAAGCCATGTTCCAGGAATGTCTCCTACCTGCCCTCCAGAGCGGGCTACGACCCTGGGTGAGTCCACTCAGCAACGCTCAGCCTCCTGTCCTGACCCCACTGATAGAGAGCTGGGAGTCTCTCAGCGGGACAAGCCGCACACACGGGCACAGTGAGGAGACACACGTCCCCAGGGACCCCTTCCAGGGCCCCGGGCCAGACTTCAGGCTTCCCCCCCAAATGATGGGGCCTTGCATGGATGGACTGGCTCCTCCACGCACCTGGTGTCCCCGGCTGGGTCCCCTCACATCCCACCTTAGTGTCCTCATCTGTGAAATGGACCTGAAGGGGACTCATGAGCCAGCTAAGCGAGGGCAACTGCAGACCTCCCTTTAAATATTTGCTCTGCAAATGGCAGAAAGGCTTTTCAGAGGGGGAGGCAAGAAGGGTTGCCATCGGTGGAAATCCCAGGGTTTCTGGCATGAGGCTGTCAGGAACAGGAAAAACCACTCCCCAAGCACAGGGCAGGGCCCACGGCCATCTGGTCTTGCTGGTCTGGGAGCCCAGCCTGCCGTGCCGGGCCTGGGCCCCTGCCTGGGGGCTGTGGGTGACTGTCCCCGTTAAGGGGTCCCAGGGAGACCCCTCTGACTCCTGGAGCTCTAGGAAGACGATATGGGGCCCCTACCCTCCTTCACCTCCCCTTGCCCTTGTCCCTCTACTAAGGAACCCCAACATAAGTACTCAGTGTCGGACCCCAGACCAAGCCTCCAGACTCTGTCCACAGGGTGACTCCAGGATCGAGATGTCGCTGTTGGCACTTACGGTGCCCTGGCCGCCTCCCAATGTCACTCCCGCGGAGCCTAGCCCTTCTTGGGGGTTTCAGTGGCGGGAGGAGCTCCGTGCCACCCCTGGGGACGGTCCCCACATGCAGATCATGCCTGCACCTTCATTCTTCCATCCTGTCTTCACACCTGTCAGCCCTCACGTCCATGCAGTCCTCCTGGACTCTCCCCCTCAGGCCATCGGGACTGTCCTGCTGGAACTTGCCTTCACCCCCGTCCTTGGTTGCAGCCACAGTTCCGATTCTGACTCCCTGTGTCTGGAGACTCCCGTGTGTGCAGGTGCACACCTCGAGGACACCCCCCCCCATTTCCCGGGTCCCATGCAGCTGCGCTGGCTCATGTGACCAGTGCTGGCCAATGGGCGCCGACACTGAGCGCCTCTAATTACCTTCAGAATACTTCTGAAGGTAATTAGAATGAGCTGGGGGTGATGGCCAGTGGGGGCTTCCCGCCTCCCCACGGATGGAGCAGCCACATGGCGGAGGAGACCCTGGGGACCCTCGTGGCGCTTCACCCCGGTGAGGACTAACCCTTGGTGGCGGGAAGCCACGGACACTTGCAGTGGCCTGGGCTCCTTCTCCCGCCCACAGCACAGCACACAGAATTCAGACTGAAAGTGGTGTCCTTTGGAACCCGGGTGAGAAACCCGCGGCACGCGGCGGCCTGAGCCTCTCTGAGCTGGTCTCCAGGGCCAGCGCCCCCAGCTGACGGGGCGTTCCCAGGTCCGGGGAGCCCCTCGATGGCCCCAGTGCTCTCTGCTCCTGCGTCACTCCTTCCAGATCTCCCGGGTCGATCCCCTCTGTCTGCCTCATCTTCTCGTTCTACATTCTAGAAGCTTCCCTGGCCTTGATTTTCCAGTCCGGTTGACGAGTATCTTCTTGTAAGGCCAGCAACTATAATTTTAATACCCGAGAACTCTGTCCTTTCATGGCATTCTCTATTGACTCTATAAATGTGATGTCTTCTTGAATACTTCTGAAGGTAATTAGAATTTAAAAGGTAATTAGGGTAATTACAATCACCTGAAGGCAATTACAATTTTTAAAATTCCTTGTGTTCCTAGAGTTAGCTTGGTTTGGTCCAGTGCGGGTGTATGTCTACACTTGAGCTTGACTATTTCACGTTTCGGGTCCTTCACCAAACACCTGGGGATCCCTCGATGTCCGTTCATGGTCACTGATGAGGACGGTGGTGGGCGGCATCTGTCCGAGGCAGGCGGTGCCTCCAGGAGCGGCGGCATCTGGTTGTGGCCCTTGACGAAGACAGCTTTCTAACTTGGCCTTTTGTTCAAGTGTAGGAGATTTAGGATCACGGTGTTGGTAGCCGCAGGATGATAATCTCCCAAATGCGATCCCAACCCACGGCAGGAACTCAATTCCTTCCAAATGCATGGTTTGTCGGCCCTGCTGAAGACCTGGTGTGGGTGACCAGACGGCAGCAGGCAGCACCTTCTGTGCTGGCGACGGGACCCTGCTCTCGGGACGCTACAGGGGCCTGCTCCCCCGTCCCCCAGCCACCCGTTAGCTACCTGGAAGCAATCATCCTGCATCTTCCTTCAAAATAAAGCCTTCAGCTCCTGTGGTCGCCCCTCGTGCAGGCTCCAGACGTGCGAGCACCCGGACCCCTCCCCGGGCCGGGCACCCTTGCGACTCTGGTGACACCGGAGGTTGTTTAGAGCTCACGGGGTTCCCACACGAGCTGCCATCAGCCTGTCACCTACAGGCCCTTATACGGCTGCTCCCTGCCGCGTCGTCATCCTCAGCCGCCGGCCCTGCGTGTCCAGGCCTCCTTGCGAGTCCCCACGTGGCTACCCGAGGTCGGCTCCCAGTCCATCGCTGAATGCTCTCCTAAACTGGCGAACACACACCCAGGCCCGTTGTTGGGGGACAACTCTGCCCCGCGCCGGCCGAGCTGTTTTTGGGGGTCCGGCCTCACCACGATGGTGAGGAGAAGGAGAAGGAGCTCTTGCTCGAGGACTCTGTCCAACACTGAACAGAGCCATAGACCGCACCACCAGGTTCCATCCCAGCTCTGCCAGGCGCCGGTCCCGGAACCCTGTGCCTCAGTGTCCCCGGGTGTAAAGGGAGACTGCAGCAGCACTCAGCGCACAGCGCGGCTGTGAGGACCGGGTGGGAGGAGGTGGGCGAAGCTCCTGGTTCTGGCACTTGCCGCCCGCCTGGCTCAGCCCGCAAGAAGGTGCGAGGCTGCAAGGAACCACGCACACCCCAGTCCCACTGCTCCCGGGGCGCCCCCCTCGGGAATGGCAGCCCCAGGAATGACCTCCTCCTGCTGGCAAACTCGGGGTCGAGCTCGGGAACCGGCTTCCCACACGTGCCTCCGTGTCGCTCTGGCCACCCGCCTCCCCCGCGCCGGCCACGCCGCCCGGCCACTCCCTCCTGCCCACCGCAGCCGGGGGCCGCTCAGCGCGGCTCTTCTCGGCCGCCGCCTTCCGCCTGCCCATCGCGGACCCGGCCGCCCCCTCTGCAGCTTGTCCTCATGCCCCTCCCCGAGGGCGCTGCCCGCCGCGCGGACCCTGGACGTGGCGCCCCGGCTGCACTGTGAGTGCTGTAAGGCAGATGGTGGGCGGCGGGTCGGCCTCCACCACCGGGTGTGCACGGCGCGGCCCTGGATGGCGGAGGAACGAGCAGGAGCTGTTCTCCAGAGCACGCTGGCCTGGTCCCTGCGCTGGGGGCTCTCCGAGCGCCCCGGCTCCGCCTCCCACACGCAATGCCAGCGTCCGCGGAGGGGGCGCCCGCGGAGGGAGCCTGCGCTCTGGTACGTCATCTCTCTCCTCGTGTTTAAGACCCACCCGGTAGGCGGCCTCCAGGCTTGTGTTAGAGGAGACGGTGCGTGTGGAATGTTCCAGCAGCTTTCAGTCTCCCTGGGCTTTCTGCACAGGGCTGGTCTCAGCGCCCTTCCATTTCCCTGCAGACCCCGCAGGAGGGGCGCTCGGCGCGTTTCCTCCTCTGCCCCCGACGTCCGACGCCAAAGGAGTCACCACCCCGGGGCGCAGAGAGCCCTCAAAGCATTTCTGCTGGGCGAACGAGGGGCCAGAGAAACAGGCAAGGGATGTTCCGGAAGGACCCAGGGAGGAAGGAGTCATGTTGCTGGTGACATGCTCTCCATGAGGATCGCAGTAAGTAGAGACGGAGTGCCCACAGCTCCCTCCACAACAGGGAAGTGCCCGCCCTGCGGCCCGAGATGGGTGGTGTGGGCCCCGCCCAGCCCCTGTGCCTCCTCTCCAGGACCCTCGGCCAGGACCAGAGTCGAGAGGGCTCCCCGGGGCGCCCGGCCCTGTCCCGCCCTGATAAACACTCGTCACGCCTAGCTCCACTCAAAGGCTTTGCCAGCCTGCCCCGTGGAGGCTGGAACCAGCTGAGGGACCCTCACGGTCTGAAGTGCAAGTGGGCAGGGCCGCCCCCGCACTTGGCCAGGTCAGGCGCCTGCTGCCCGGCTGCCCCAGGACACCCGCCCAGGGGCCACGGGGCCCGCTGAGCACCCAGGAAGCTCGGTGCCAGAGGGAGGGCAGGGCAGGGCCCCCTCCCACCTCGTTGTCGGGCTCTTCTCAGGGCCCCAGGGACTCAGCCTGAGCCTCCTGTGGGGGGTGTTGCCTGGGTGAGGGGGGCCTGGAGGCGGTGCTGGTCCTGGCTCTTGCGGTCCCCAGGTCCCGCATCTCCACCTGCCGGGTGGCCTGCCGGAGGCGGGACACGGGGCTCCCGCCAGCTCCTTACCAGGAAGGCCTGGAATAGCTGGAAGGAGCCGAAGAGCCAGACATACAGATGGGAGTGCAGCTTCGTGGACCTGCCGTTGAAGGCGTTGGCCACCGCCAGGAACGAGTAGGGCCCCACGGTGAAGAATTCCCAGTCGTAGGCACCGGATGTGGCAATGGTCTGGTTGGCCTCGAAGAGGCGCGTCCTTGGGTTCCACTTGTAGATGACACTGTTGATGTTGTGGTTGTCACCTGCAAGCCAGGCGGCCGCCGTCACACACCACAGGCAGACATCCCCTCGTGGCAGCCTGCCCTGGACCTGCCCCAGGGCCCGGGGGGCCGTCCGGTGCCGTCGGGCCTCTGGCCGCTGGGCACCGTCCCTGCTCTCCCCTGCGCTCCCTGCCCCTGTGCCCACGGGAAAGCCCTCCCTGGGTCCCTCCTTTGGGGGCTCCAGACCCCTCCCCCCGTGGCCTTCTGTCTTAGAGATGGGATCCCAGCCTCACCTCTCCCCCTGCCCAACGACCCCGCCGCCCGCACTGTCCCCTCAGCTCAGGCCTTCGCACCTTCTGTCCACATTGTGCTCCCTGGAGCCCCCCTGGTGGGGTGGGGCCAGCTTCTCCCGGAACACTCCTTCTCTGGGGAGCACTGGTTAGCGGGCTCCTGGGGCCCCGCTGCCCATGAGTGGGGTCCCTACAGACAGAGCTCCCTGGCCGCAGATGCCCTACAGGGCCCGCTGCCTCAGACCCTGCTGTCCGGAGTTGCACCACCAGGAGGGGCCAGCTGCGGCCCCTCAGGCGGTCACAGGCCCAGAAACCAGGCCCCCAGCCTCGGCCAGGCCCGTCCCCCACCGTGCCCGCTGCATCACAGAGTTTGCGTCTAGAGGGCACGAGACAACGCCCCGCATCCTTCTCCCAGCACACTGCCCACACCACCGTCCCTCTGCCGGTCCAACAGCTCACCTTCACACCTGTTTCAGCCAACCCCTCCTCCGAGGAGGCCAGTTAGTTAGTTAGTTAGTTGGTTAGTTTCAAATGAGGTGGTCTGGCCCACGTTCCCACAACCACTCTCCTGGACAGGCACCCACACATACCGCGCACCTGTCTTCCTACCTGGACGGGGAGAAGGTGTTCAGGTGTGCTTGCCTCAGACGTCGCTGTCAGATGGCCCAGCCCAGAGAATCGGGCCAGGAGTGACTTACTGTAATTTGTTAACCCGCAGGTGAGTCAGCCCCGCCCCGCCCCGCCCCCGTGGTTTCCTTCCTCGTGGACGGCCACAGCCTACCTTCCCGGTGGTTGGCCACGGCCAGGAAGTGCTCCCCGGCCACCTTGAAGGCCTCCCAGTCCCGGGCGCTGTGGGTGGGGACCCTCTGGTATGGCGTGAACCTCAGCTTCGTCTGGCTCCATTTGTAAATGACGGAGAACTCCTGACCCTTTTCATTCGGTTCAAAATTGGCCACAGCCAGGAAGACCTGAACGAGAGAGCCCGGGACACTGGTTCTTGCTGTGTACTCGAGGGGCCTGGCACCGAGGCTTCTGAGCACCCGCGTCTCGGTCCGAGGGCCACCGTCTCTGTGGATCTGTCCATCCCGTTCCAGACCCTTAAACGTGTCTGTGTTCGTCAGCCCGTTGTCCCCATCTCTATCCCCAAACTAGGGAACAGCTTTATGCCCAGACTTGTCCTTCATCACCTGGATGAGGAGAACACATCACAAAGCCCTCCACCCATATAGAAGCCCGCGCTTGTCATGTAGCTGAGTTAGACACACAGGTGGCCAGCGTGCAACCGGACCAGGAGGCAAGCCAGCTCGGTGTGTGGGGCGCGCCCACTGAGCCCGGAAGTAAGCGTGCGCTCAGTAAGCCCCACACCTGTTTCGTTGACCGGACAGACCCTCGCCCCTTGTTTTTCTGAATTTCCCGATATTTCCTTGATGCAAAGTTCACATTTTTTATATGAAAATGTGGCCAACCAAAGGGCCGGAGCGCTAGTCAGCCATTCGCCACGCGGGACTGGGAGCGCGGCCGGGCCGCGGCGGGCTGCGAGCAACAGGAGTGCAGAGGCCTGTCCTTTCTGCTCCCTGTTCATCCTCGGGGCAGGCCTGGGTGAGGGCAGGCGGTACCTGGCACTCACATACTGCTGAGTGAGCGATTCCAGGGCCGGGTGCAGGACGGCGGCCCCAGGACACTGCCCCTGGAGTCGAGGGTGTAGATGGAGCTGATTAGACAACGGGTCATGCTGGGGGCAGCCCCTCAGACCCACCGCCTGTGCCTCTGCTCCGTCCGGCCCTGGCAGCGGGGGGCACTGCCCGTGAGCGTCCCACCCTCACCTCCGGGCCCGGCCCCCTGCAGTGAGTCTGTCTCCTTCCCCAGATGATTTCCGCCTTGTTGACCAGCTCATCAAATGGGCCAACAAGCTTTTAATTGAGCCCCGATGGGTCTACGTAGAACTGGACAGTGTCATAGGAATGGTCTTGTTTTCTATTTTGTAGGAAGCCGAACAGACTTCACATTCTGGATTTAGAGACCCCGCCAAGTGTCCGACTTTGAAAGCTGTTGAGAACCTGAGTAAGACTGAAACCATGAGAAATACGTTCCCAGACCATCTACATGAGCAGTCCCAACCTTTGGGTTTTCCCAAGTTGAAAAGGATCGAGACGGTCGCTGGGTGCAGACTTGCCTTTTTCCCGATGGTGAAGTGTCTCCAGGACTGGGCTTGGTGCGTGCGAATGTTCTGGTATGAGGCGAACTTTCCATCTGTCCACTTGTAGATGGCGGATGTGTTTTTGCGGTTGGCGGCTGCCACGAAGAGCCCAGCCTCGGGGATGGCAAAGACCTCGATGCCCAGCGTCTCCGAGTTGGTGAACAGGCTCTGATGCTCCTCCACATAGTCCAGCTTTTCTCTGGCTGGTGACAGAAATGTGGAGACCCGGTTAACGCCTCCCAGGACGGGGGCGCGACCAGGGCCCCGAGCCCTGACCCCCAGCTCTAGCCACGGTCAGGGCTTTCTCCGGGGCGACTTGCCCGGAGCGCATGTTGCCGTCACAGAGAGGCCACCAAGGCAGCCTGCTGGCGCCCGCATGGGTTTCAGGGTGGTGTGCTGAGCGGCCAGGGACACTGACTGGACGGCACGGATATGTCGGGTCCAAACTAGGCATTCCCACCTCCCGCGAAGGTGCACCCTCAAGTGCACAAGGGACTGGGGTCAAGGCTCGCGAGCGGCGGCTGCAGCCAGCTCCCGTTTCCTGTGGGCGAGGGTCCCGGGCGCCCTGGGCAGCCTCGACTCCTCGTCTCCACACGGGAAGCACTCGGGGGAACAGCATGCTTCCAGGCTCCTGGCATCACCGCCTGGCATCTGTGATCCGAGGGGCAGACAGGGTGCCAGGAGGCTGCCCCCTCGGGACCACGGGGACTAGACGCGGGGAGTGACCAGCCCTGCCCAGGAGGACATGCGATTCCAGATGAAACCTGCAGGCCTGCTGTCCTGGGGGTCGCTCCCTATCCCCAAGTAATGCTGGCTCGAGAAGAGCCGTAAGTCCCCAGAGCCCGCTTCACCTGCTAACACGGAGACCCACTCGCTGCCCACACACAGGAACAGCCCCTTCTGGCTGGCGTCGAACCAGAACTGGGCGTCCTCCTCTTTGGTGCACGGAGGCCGGGAGCCCAGCGTCACCTTCATGTCGGTTTCTGGGGGGAGACAAGGAAGAGGAGTGTCCAGGTGCAGGTTCCCTGGAGGAAGACGGAGTGGGAGGTGGACCCCTGACCCCGGCTGTCCTGCCTTTGCCTCTGCCTCTGCACGTGGGGACCATGAAGACACAGGGGTCTCCATCGAGGCCCCACACGGCAGGACAGAGGCTACGAGGCTCCCCTGCCGGCCTCCCTGCCCACTGCAGAGGGCGGCCCATCTTCCCCTGGAAAAGCCTCAGTCTTCACACTGCTGCCCTGCTCGTCTCTCGGACCTGTCACTCTCTGGCGCGAGTTTGTATAAGCTTGAGTTTTGCCTTGTTTTTCGGTGTTTGACCCCATCACTTCTGGTGATTACACCTCATCTCGGGCCAAGCCCACTGGTCCTGATGGTGCTGCGGGGCCGATTCACAGCAACGTGGGCGCTGCATCCACACCGACAGCCAGCGCTGTGGGCACCTGGATGTTATCAGCGCCCGGTGGAGGCCTGGGCTCACACCCCGCCTCCTGCCTCTTGTTCTGAGCTGGAACTGGACGGATGTGGGAAACTTCCATGGAGTGCCTGAAAACTTCACTGTGCAGGGAAATCATTTTCCTCTGTGTCTCTTCTTTTATGATAAAAATTATTCAAAATTGTACTGTTACTATAAAATTATTCACAATATCATAGCAATAAACTGCATCAATACATAGACTATTTTTTAAAGACTTATTTATTTTAGAGAGAGAGAGAGAGAGCAGGGGCAGAGGGAGAATCTCAAGCAGACTCACCACTGAGCAGGGAGCCCAACGTGGGGCTGGATCCCACGGCCCTGAGATCATGACCTGAGCCAAAACCGAGAGTCAGACGCTGAACCAACTGAGCCCTCCAGGTGCCCCAATCCGTAGACTAGTAACGTGCTCTCCAATGTGAAAAAATAAAAAGCAGCAGGTGGGGGGCACCTGGGTGGCTCCGTCAGTGAAGCGTCTGCCTTTGGCTCAGGTCATGATCCCAGGGTCCTGGGATCAAGCCCTGCATCAGGCTCCCTGCTCCGCGGGAAGCCTGCTTCTCCCTCTCCCACTCCCCCTGGGCTGTCTCCCCGCCTGGCAGAGTGGTGGTGGGAGGGGATTTGGCAGCTCCGGTGCAGGGGTGTGGCTTACACGAACCGTCCAGACTGTAACTTGACATGGAGAACACACAAGTACACACTAAAGAGAACGGTGCAGGGGACCCTCTGGGCTGGGGGATCACGGACAACTGAAATGTGCCTAAGTTCGGGGTCCCCACTGGGGCAGGGGCTGAGATTTAGATGCCTATCAGGGAGGGATGGGGATAAAGACCCCAATACTGGTCTGGGGGAAAACAGGCAGCAGATGGAAATCAGAAGGCTCAAGAGAAGGAAGATGATGTCAGGGAACAGCCCCGGGCATCCCAAGCAGGACCAGTGGTCCGTTGAGGGCACCATCCAGGCAGGGTTTGGCGGCCACTGGGCGAGCCACCTGGAGGAAAGTTGGGTGATGCTGGTGTGTCCAACGGGGCCAGTCTCTCTGTCGATTTGATAATCACCCTCCTGTCTTTGCTCCCAGGAGAGGTGGGAAAGTGACAAGGTTCTTGGGGTCCACCATCAGTGAGGGGGAGTGGGTGGCTTTGACCTACTAACCATAGGGATATTTTAGCACCTCATTATCTTCTGGCTTCCCTGTGAGACCCTGCAGGACAGGGGGGATGGACAGCACAGCCAGCTCGGCACTCCTGCAGGGACAGAGCCTTGGGGTGGCGTCCGAGCCGGGCAGCAGAACCAGCTGCCTCACCAGGCCCTGCAGAGAGAGGGACAGCATGTTCAGAACCTTGTCGCCAGAGAGCGCCTGGACCACTGGGCTCAGCCTGTCCAGACCCTGGTGGAGGGGTGGGAATGGAGGATGAAGGGTCTATTCACCTCTAGAGGTAGGAGAGAAGAGTCTGCTGATTGGTTGGGGGGAGTGGGGAGCACTGAGAGCAACGGTGGGGAACTATACACCATTCTAAGGTAATTAAGTCATGGAAGGGGTTTTTCCTGTGAACTAACCTAGAGGGACTGGGTTGCATTGCTCATCCATCCATCTGTCCATCTGTCTGTTCATCTACCCATCCATCGACCATAATCCATCCATCACTCATCCACCCATCCGTCCATCTACCCATATATTCATCCATCCACCCATCCATCCATCACTCACTCACTCATCCACCCATCCATATGTCCATCCTTCCAACCATCCAGCCATCCATCACTCACCCATATGTTCACCCACCCACCCACACACCCACCCATCCATTTATCCATCACTCATCCATCCACCCATCCATCCATCCAGCCAGCCATATGTCCATCCACCTGCCCATTCAGCTATCCATCTATCCATCCACCCAAGCATGCCATCCATAAATATTCACCAAGCACCTATCACGTATCAGGCATGGGTCTAGACACAACACGGCAGGAAACAAAAGCCCCTACACTCATGGAACAAGGTCCCCCACCTGCAGTCTAAGGGAGAGACAGTTAATGAGCAAGCACATAGCTGGTCTGAGGTGGTCAGGGCTACAGGGGATGGGTACAAGGCCCATCTTCTCTGAGGGGTGGGGGAAGGTCTCCATGGAAGAGGACATGGAGCAGGGCCCTGAGAGTGTAAGGTGTGAGCTCTGGGGGCAGTGAGGATGAGTGTGCACGGGAACAGGGTGAAGTGTGCCTGGCAAGTAAGGGGCCCCAGTGGACCCCAGGGCTCCCTGGTCCCACGTGGCACACACACCGATCTGTCGAGCAGAGCGTGAGGACACCAGGCTTGCAGTGGCAGGCCCTCTGTGAGCACGGATGTTGGGGCAGCCCCTCCCTTACCTACCGTGAACAGGCCTTTGGTCCTCTTACGGCTGCCGATGAAGAATCGGGCTCCTCGCACCGATAGGGTGGCCGGGAAGGGCACGTCAGCCATTCTGAAAACATTTGAGGGTGGTTTGAGGGCCATGGGGGAGCAGGGTCACAGCCATTCACGCAGAAAAGCACAGGGAGAAGCTGCACAGGAGAGGCATCGCTTCCCAGGGCGGCTGTAACAAGCACCACACGCTGGGGGCTTGAGCAGCAGACGAGCCCCGGCTCTGGAGGCCAGAAGTCTGAGGTCAAGGTGCCACCTGGCCGTGCTCCCTCCGCAGGCTCCAGGGGAGGTTCCTCTAGCCTCTTCCAGCTTCTGGGGGCTTCTGGTAGTCCCCGGCTTGTAGCCCATGTCGTGCCCTCTGCCTGTCTTCACATAGCCTTCTCTGTGCCTCTTCTCCTCTTCTTAGCAGGACACCAGACTCGGGACGGGGCCCCGCCCTGCTCCGGGACCACCTCAACTGAACCCGGTCGCACCTGCAAAGACGTTGTCTCCAAGCAAGGTCCCATTCCCAGGTTCTGCTGGACCTGAACTGGAGGGATGCTCTTTGCCCCAGGACAAGAGTCTCCGGCAGCTGTCACTGCAGAGGTGTTTGTTCGGTGGCTGCTCCATCTCTCGGGAACCTTCCGTGGCTCCTACTGGCACTGGGTCCCTAGCCTGCCCACCCTCCACCAAGCCTGTGGGGAAACGGATGGTGTCTGGGAGGGAAGGGTCCTTGCTGGTGACCTGGGAGATGTTGGAAGATGTGGCCAGAGCTGGGTCTTGATGTGGACGTGGAGGCTGAAGCTTGGGGATAGGGGAAAGGTGGGCGCCGGCTGGAGGGGATGCCCTGACTGGGGCCTCTGGGGCGGATGAGCCAGACAAGTGCTTCTCCTCACTGCCTCCTGCACCTCGATGCCATGCCCTCCCGTAAATGCACCTGTTCCCTCCAGGCTTGCATCTGGCTACAGCTGGCCGTGGTGAGGCCAGTTCCTGACCGCCTCCCAGAATAACCCATGCTCCCATCACAGCTCTGATCACAGTGTGCACTCTGTGAAGCCCGGTCCCAGGGCCCAGGTTCCTCCTTGGCCACCACCGGCTGCAGCCCTGGCTCCTTCCGTCCCGTCCCTGGCCCGTGCTCCTGCCCGTCCCAGAGCTGTCCCCACTGCTGGGTCCCCACTGTCATCACCCGGTAAAGGCCCTGATGTACTCAGGGGGCATGGGGGGCACTTGTGGTAGAGACGTATTTAAACAGAGTGTCTGAATATCAAGGATTCTTTTTATTAGGGAGTAAGTGTCATCCAACAAAGCAGAGTGAGGTTCTACCTTTGCAAGTAATATTTGGAATAATGGTAGATTTAATGCAAGCGGGACAATTTGTGATTTAAAAAAAAAGAGTGCCCAGCCCCGTGAGCCAGGGTGGAAGCTGAGGGCAACGGGGGTCGTCACTCCCTGGTGGAGCTGTGGGGCCCCACGCGCCCTGGTCCAGCCTCGCAACCAGGGGACGGCGGGACAGGGAACGGACTCCGGCTTCTGAGTCCCCGGGGCTGGGTCGAAGCTACCAGAGGATGGTTCTGCCTGTTTATTTGGAGTTTTAGTGGCTATTCACTCCCTCGGCCCAGACAAGCAAACCAAGTCTTGGGTCAAACGATGTGCTGAAACCGCAGAGCCGGACTGGCCGCAGCTGCTTTTTGGCTCCGCTGCCTGAGCCGTCTGTGAACTTCCTCTGCGGCCTTCGGCGATGGCGCCCACACTCAGCAGGGCACCCCACCCCCCACGCCCAGCGCACCCAGGGGCGCCTGCGTCCGCCCCCTCCCACCGGCCTTTCTGGAGGACAGGACCCTGCCGACGACCCTGCGCTCCTGCCTCAGGGGATGGTTCCCAGCGGCTGTTTGCCCACACGACCGAGCGCCCACGGTGCGCACTGCACAATGCTGGCCGCACCCGGGACGGCCGCCCTGCCGCCCTGGCCCCCTGCCCCCCTGCCCCGGCTGCATCTTGTCGGGCAGCGCACAGCCCCGCGCCGCCCGCCCCTGGCGTCCGGCTACCTACATGTCCAGTGGGAGGCCACAGTCCGTGGTGAGGGAGAAGGATCCTTCAGACACGGCCAAGACCAGCGTGTGCCACTCCCTGTCCGTCAGAGCGGGGCTGTGGAAGGTCACTCGGGTTTGCCAGGCACCCGCCGGGTCCTGGCTGAGGAAGAGGAAGTGCAGCCGGGTGGGCGAGTACCGCAGGCCGAGCAGCAGGGCGTCCGCCTCCTCCGCCACCACTGTGAACAGGTATTCGTTCTTCTGGAAGAGAGGGTGCAGCGGGGGGCTGAGCGGGGGTGGGGGGTGGATGGGGGAGGGTGGACGGGGGGAAGGTGGGGGCGGGGGATGGTGGGGGCGGGGGAGGGTGGACAGGGGAGGGTGGGGGCGGGGGAGGATGGGACAGGGGAAGGTGGGAGCAAGGGACGGTGGACAGAGGAGAGTGGGGGCTGGACAGGGGAGGCGGGGGGGGCAGGGCTCGCAGGGCAGGGCCTACTGCGGTGACCGAGGTCTGTGACAAAACCAAAAGCCCTGCTCAAACCTATTAGGCTAGCTACTAGCAAAACCCAGGAGAGCGTGCTGACGGGACTGCAGGGAAATTGGGACGGGGCGCGGAAAGGCGCCCGGCCCGTGGGGCAGCTGTCGTAGAGAACGGAGTGGCGTGCCCTGGAAACAGCCTTACAGAAGCAGCCCAGGACCCAGCAAGCGCTCCGGGCCAGCGCCCGGACGGACGGCTGGGTCTCGGAGAGATGCACCGCGTGCCGGGCCCGTTAGTCACAGGCGCTAACATGCAGAAGCAGCCGGGGAACCCGCGGTCGGCCCGTACAGGGCACAGTGACTCAGCCTTAGACACAAGTCCCAGCGTCCACACCGGTGGCCCCAGAGGACGTCACGCTGAGGGAGGTCAGCCAGTCTCTCAGGACACGTACTGCATGGTCCCACTTCCGTGAGGGACCCAGAGCCGCCCCCTTCAGAGACAGAGAGCACAACGGGGGTGCCAGGGCTGGGGAGGAGCGGCCATCAGGCTCAGAGCGGGGGATGGAAAAGTCTGGACACGGATGGTGGGGATGGCGCAAGACAGTGTGAAGGTGCTGAGTGCCACGGAACCGGAGACCTGGGGCGCCTCACTTCCCAGCTCAGACCGCACACACTTGACTGTCCACCCGTGCAGCTCAGGGTGCGGCTCAGGGGGCTGACGGCGCTAGAGTGGGTGTGGAAGTTTGGGCGACACCTTCTCCAGCAAGCCCCCGCCTCCTAAAACAGTGCCCACTCCCAGGCAACAATGCTGCCAACTCGGTTAAAGCCGCCAGGATCCTTGTCTTCAACCTAACACCAAATCCAGTAAAATGCACTTGGCACGCTTGGGTCGCACGGCCTGTGGTGCTGAGGGGACACACAGGCCCCACTGGTTTCCAGGCTGGGACGTGGCACCCGGACGTATGCTCCACAGTAAGGGAACCCTCTCTCCCATGTGGCATCTTTCAGGGAGTGGGGTGATGCGTGGAAGCCAAGAGCCACAAAGGCAGGACAAAATCCTCACGGTGGTGGCTCGGGACATGAGACAAGGGGCTGGAAGGAGCACTGACATCACACACGGCCCTGCTGGGACGGGAATCCCCACGTCCCTGGGCTCTGGCTTTGGGCACTCAGGGCCCAGCAGCACTGACCGTCCTGGGCGAGGGCGTGACTCCCACCCCGGGGCCCTGCCCAGAGGAGTCCGGCCCCTGCCCTGTGCGATTTCTCAGTCCCGCATTCCTACAAATGTTCGCGGCGGGAGGAGACCAGTGTCTGGTCAAAAGCCTGGGATCCCCCCGCCCCCATGAGGGTCCGATGAAAGGAAGCAGATCCGTTGGCGAAGTGAGTTTATTGGGGAACCCGAGGAGGTGCTGACAGGTCGGCAGTTGAGGCCAAGGGACCCGAGCAGAGAAACTGGGAGGGAAGGACAGGGGACCAGAACGGGTGTAGGCACCTCCCGGGGGGAGGCGGGGGCAGCATGCCTGGGAGCTAGGAGGTCAAGGTCAGGTCAGGAGAGTGGACACATGGGGGACCCCGTCCTGGGGTCAGGACTGGACTGAGGGGGCCTGGGAGGACCACCATCACTGGGTGGGTCCTGAGCCCAGCTGGCCCCGGTGGGGACGTGCCCCGTCAGCAGCAGGACTTCTGGGCCGAGGTGGGCACGCAGCAGGCCTGGCGGGGGCCCACGGGCCGGCAGAGCAGGGACACGCAGGAGGCCCGGCGGCAGCAGCTGGGGTGGCAGGAGGAGGCGGGCATGCAGCAGGCGGGCCTGCACACGGGCCAGCAGAGCAGGGACACGCAGGAGGAGGGTCTGCAGCAGGACGAGGAGCAGGGGCTGGGCCGGCAGCAGGAGGGGGCTGAGCAGGGGGAGGCCTTGCAGCAGACAGGGGTGCAGCCGACGGGCTTGCAGCAGACAAGGGTGCAGCAGACAGGGGTGAAGCAGAGGGGCTTGCAGCAGGCAGGGGTGCAGCAGACAGACCCACTGCAGGCTTCCTGGCAGGGGGAGGAGCTGCAGCAGGAGGGCTGGCAGCTAGACTGTTGGCAGCATGAGGAGGCCGAGCAGGGGGAGGCCTGGCAGCAGACAGGGGTGCAGCAGACGGGCTTGCAGCAGACAGGGGTGCAGGAGACAGGGGTGCAGGAGACAGGGGTGCAGCCGATGGGCTTGCAGCAGACAGGGGTGCAGGAGACGGGCTTGCAGCAGACGGACGCGCCGCAGGCCTCCTGGCAGGGGGAGGAGCTGCAGCAGGAGGGCCGGCAGGAGCTGGTGCAGGCTGATTGGCAGGGGCTGGACCCGCAGCTCACGGGGGTGCAGATGAGGGTCAGGCAGGAGGCCGGGGTGCAGCCGCTGGACTGGCAACAGCTGGGGGTGCAGCAGGGTGGGGCACAAAAAGGGGGCTCGCAGCAGCTCTCTGGGCAGTCGTCCACCTGCCAGGAGGAGTCGGGGCAGGAGTCCCAGGAGCCGGGCAGGCAGACGCGGCTGCCGTAGCTCAGATCGTTGGAGCAGACGGACAGGGTGGACGCGGCCATGGCGGGGGCGGTGGGGCTGGAGGAGGGTGTGACTGTGAGTGGGAGTGGGAGTGTGTGAGTGTGTGTGAGTGTGTGAGGTGCTCGGGCTGTCTGTCGGCTTTTATACCCTCCACGGTGTGTGTTGTCCAGCCAGAGACTCCCTGGGACTTCCCTTTCCTTGCTAGTGTTTTGACTGAGTCCTGAGAGTGCTTATTACTGCTGCTTTATTTACACACGAGCGTTTGCCGCTTGTAAAACGCTGTCCTGGTTGAGGACGGGGCTGGCCCCCGAATTTGTTTAGTTCTCTAAGCAAACAGCACAGGAGCTACCTAGCTAGAGTCCTGGAGCCCCGGGGCGTGCTCTCTGGTGTGGTCCGCGGTGTGGCGGGCAAGTCTCGGGGAGTGGGCAGGACGCAAAGCCGGGACAGGTGTGCTGATCAGCTGCAGGGCGTCCCCCACACACGGAGGGTTGCATGGTGGCTCACGCGGTCCAGGGTGAGTGGCACAGCAGAAAAAGTGTCTCAGCCCAGATGACAGAGATGGAATGTGGTAAACTTAAGAGAAACGGATGATGCCCTCAAGATCCAATGTCCATCTTACAAGATTTCCAGAAAGACAGGTCAGCCACAGGGAACATTTCTCAGAGCAGAGGGAGTTGGGGTCTTGGGATGTGTAATTCTGACCAAAGGTGGGATGAGATGAACAGAAAACGGTGCATGTGTAGGCACATGGGTGAACTCTCTCACCAAACCTAAGCATCCTAGATGCCCTGGGAGAGATCGGCATCGCATCGTAACTCAGTGAACCTGATGCCTGAAGACATGCACCCAAATCTTTGACGCTGGAGGGAGAGAAGTTGGATTATGTGACTCCATGAAACCGCCCAGTGTGCGGAAGGTAAAGCACTTCTGATACTTTGGCTGTTCTGAAAAACTGCCACTCAGACACCGTCCATGAAAGCATCTCGAGACCACCTGGTCCAGCAAACTCAATACAAAAACAAAGAGAAGTAGAATATAAAAAATAATCAAGAACAACAACAACAACAAAAAGCAACTAGCAGTTTGCAAGTCTTAACTTCTTCAGGGAGAGGAATTTTGCCCATTTGACCTGACAGAGCCAAGCAGCGGCTCACCGTCCTCCCCTCCTCCCCTCCTCCCTGCACGTAACGCACTCGGTGGCATGCGGCTCTGAGCCTTGGCGGTCGCCCACGCACCGCCACCAGGCCATGCAGAAGGTCCCTTGTGCTCCCCATCCTGGCAACACCTCCCTTCACCCCAAACCCCTGCGGCCGCTGACTCTCAGTCACTACTCAGATGTGACGTGGCTTTTCCAGAATGTCATAGAAACACAGTGTGCAGCCTTCGGGGTCTGGCTTCTTTCGTTTAACAAAATGTGCTTGGGTTGCACGCATGCTGTGGGCACATCAGTAGTAGCTCCTGTCTCTTTATTCTGAATGCGTTCTGCTGTATGCATGGACCACGATTTGGTTATTCTGCCAATGGGTGAAGGATGTCTTCGTTGTTTCCTGTTTTGGACGGTTATGAACAAAGCTGCTACCAACACTGTGTACTGGTTTCTGCCTGGCAGTGAGCTTTTGTTTCTCCAGGGTAAACACATGGGGGTGGCCTAGCTGGATCACAAGGTAAGGGCATGTGTAACGTGATGAGAAACCGCCAGCCTATTTTGCAAAGTGTCTGTGCCATTCTGCGTTCCCACCAGCGGCGTACGGGAGTTCTTCTGGCTCTGCATCCTTGCCAGCCCTTGATGTTGCCAGTTTTTTTGTTAAATATTAGCCATTCGAATAGGTGTGTGGTGGTATCTTTTTGTATTTTCATTTGCGTTGCCCTGATGACTAATGCGGTGTTGAGACTCTTGAATGTGCTTCCTTGCCAAAATGGTTTCCAAAGTGGTGGAATGACGCGTTACAGTTCCACCAGGGCTGTACGAGCGCTTCACTCCTCCACGCCCTTGCCAACGCTAGGCATGGCCGGGCTTTTCTGTTTTAGCCATTCCCAAAGGCATGTAAGGTTATCTCTTTAGGTTTTAATTTGCACTTCCCTGATGACTGATGGTGTTAGGCATCTTTTTATGTGCTTATTTGCCATCCAGTGTCTTCTTGGTATTTCTTCAAATGTCAGGCCCCTTCCTTTTTAAGGTTTTCTTGACATTGAATTTTGAGAGCACTTTATGCATTTGGGATATGAGTGCAGTTGACCCTTGAATAAGGTGGTGTTAGGGCACCAACCCGCTCACAGTCGAACATTTGCGTGTAGCTCTGGCCCCCCAGAAACCTAACTGCTAACTAAGCCTCGTGTTGACCAGAAGCTCTACAGATAACACAGAGCTGACGAACACATACTTGTATTCTTACAATAAAGTGAGCTGGAGAAGAAAATGTAAGAAAGTCATCAGGAAGAGAAAGCACATGCACAGTAGGGTACGGATTTACTGGAAAAACCCACGTCTGAGTGGGCTCGCAGTCCAGACCAGTGTAGCTCAAGAGTCAGTAGCACTTTGCTCAGATGTGACTTGCAAATATTTTCTGCTCCTCTACAGCTTCTCTTTTCAGGCTCTTAACAGTGTTGTTTGAAGACCAAAGGGTTTAATGTTGGTAAAGGCCAGTTTATCAATTTTCTTCTTTTTCAGATCATGCTTTGGGTAATAATCCTAAGAATTCACCTAACATAAGGTCACAATGATTTTCTCCTGTTTTTTTCTAAAAGTTTAAAATGTTTACATTTTACATTTAGGACTATGATCAATTTTTACACTAAGTGTGAGGTATGGGTCAAGATTCCTTTTTTTTTTGGATTTGAACGTCCAGTTGTTCCAAGTACACTTCTGTCTCTTGAACTTGCCTTTGCAATTTTGTCAAAAATGAGTTGACTGTATTCGTGTGGGTCTATGTGTCTATTCTGTTTCATTAATCTGCCTACTTACATTCCTTTGCCAACATCACATTGTCTTGATTACTTTTATTACAGGAAATTTTGGAGTCATGTAGTGAAGTCCTCCAACTTTGTTCTTCATTTTCAAATGGTTTGGATATTTGAGCTCCTTTGCCTTTCCAAACAATTTTAGAATTAGCTTGTTCATATTGACAAAAAGCTGCTACCGGGATGTGGATTGGGATTGCCTTGAATCTATAGACCAGTCTGGAGGTCACTGACGTCATAACAATATTCCAACCTGCAAACACGGTCTAGCTCTCCATTTACTTATGTCTCGTTAAATTTCTTTCATCAATATTTTTATAGTCATCATTAGGTATATATTCCCTGACATTTATGCCTATGTTTTCATTATTTATTCTGTTGTAAAGCACACCTTTAAACAAAATTTTTCAATTCCAATTATTTACTGCTATTTATTGAAATGCAATTAATGTTAATTATTTTAGGCTTGCACACTTCAACCTTGCTAAACTCTCTTATATTTCTAGGAGATTTTAGTAGGGTTTTCTATGTGCACACTCATGTCCTCTGTGAGTAGAGACCATTGTATATCTTAATTTCCAATATGTATGACTTGTATTTCTTTTTCTTGCTGGTTGCACAGGTAGGACTTCAGTATGATGTTGAGTAGGAGCAGTGAGAGAGGACATCTGTATCTTTTTCCTGATCTTTGGAGGAAAGCTCTCAGTCTTTTACAATTAAGTATGGTGTTGGCTATAAGATTTTTACAGATGCCTTATATCAGGTTAACAGTTTTTTCAATTATTCCTAGTTCACTATATGCTTTTTTAAAAAAATTAAACAGGGGGAACACTGCCCAATTCATTCTTTGAGGCTTACATTACCCTGATAACAAAGCCAGGCAAAGACATGACAAGAATAGAACCACAAACTAATATCCCTTATAAACAATGATGCAAAAGTCCTCAATAAAATACTAGCAAACTGAATTTAGCAGCACAGTGAAAAGATTATACACCATGACCAAGAAGGACCTATTTCTGGAATTCAAGGATGGTGCCACATATGAAAATCAGTCAGTATAAAACCCCACATTACCAGAATAAAGAAAAAAATACATGATAATCTCAATTGATACCAAAAAAACATTTGACAAAATTCAACACACTTTCATGATGCAAACACTCAACAAACTAGGAAAAGGAGGAACTACCTCAATATCATAAAATATGTATGTGAAAACCCCACAGCAAACATCATACTCAATGGTGAAAGACTGAGAGCTTTTCCTCTAAGGTCAGGAATGAGGCAGGGATGCCCACTTTTGCTACTTCAATTCACCACAGTACTGGAGGTTCTAGGAGAGCAGTTGGACAATAAAATAAATAAAGGCAGTCTAAATTGGAAAGGAAGAGTAAAATCACCTCTGTTCACAGATGCTATGACCTTATTTGTAGAAAATCCTAAAGACCTGTTAGCACTAGTAAGTGAATTCAGAAAAATGGCAGGACACAAAGTCAACACACAAAAGTCAGTTGCATTTCTATACACAAATAATGAACAACCCAAAAAGGAAATTATAAAAGCAATCCCATTTACAATTACATCAAAAAAGAATAAAATAAAAGGAATTAACCACAGAGGGGAAAGTCTTGTACAATGAAAACTATAAAACATTGTTGAAAGATGGTAAAGAAGACATAAATAAATAGAAAGACAGCCCACGTTCACGGGTTGGAAGGCTCAATATTGTTAAGATGTTGATACCATCTAAAGCAATCTACAGATGTAACACAATCATTATTGAAATCTCAATGACATTTTTTACAGAAACATAAAACCCCTCACACTAATATGGAATCTAAAGGGACCCTGCATAGCCAAAAAATCCTGAAAAACAAAGCCGGAGGACTCACACTTCCTGATTTCAAAACTACAAAGCTACAATAATCAACATAGACATAAAAATGGGCAGACATATAGAAAAATGGAATAGAATAGAGTCCAGAAATAAACCTTCACTTATTAGGCCAAATCATTTTTCACAAGGGCACCAAGTACATTCAATGGAAAAAGGACAGTCTTTTTAACAAATGGTGCTGGGAAAACTGATGATCCACATGCAAAAGAATGAAGTTGGACCCCTATCTCACACCACACACCAAAATGAACTCAAAATGGATCCATGACCTAAATGGCAGACCTAAAACTATAAAACTCTTAGAAGAAAACACAGGATGAAAGCTTCGCAACATTGGATTTCACAATGATTTCCTCGATATGACACCAGAGGCATGGGCAACATAAAAAAAATACAAAAATTGGACTTCATGAAAATGTTAAATATATTTTTAAGATTTTATTTATTTGTTTGACAGAGAGAGACACAGCGAGAGAGGGAACACAAGCAGGGGGAGCAGGAGAGGGAGAAGCAGGCTTCCCGCCGAGCAGAGAGCCCAATATGGGGCTCGATCCCAGGACCCTGGGATCATGACCTGAGCCGAAGGCAGACGCTTAACGACTGAGCCACCCAGGTGCCCCAAAATTTTAAATATTTTTGCATCAAGAGACAATACCAATGGAGAATAAAAGGTAATCCAAAGAAAGGGGAGAAAACATTTGAAAATCATGTTCTGATCAGGGGCTAATATCTAAAATGTATGAGAACTCCCCAAAATCAATAACAAAAAGCCAAACAACCCAATTAAAAAATGAGCAAAGGACTTGAATAGACATTTTTCCAAAGAAGATGCACAACTTACGTGACCAATGAGCACATGAAAAGACGCTCAACATCACTCATCTTTAGAGAAATGCAAATCAAAAGTACAATGACAAGCCACCTTACACCCATTAGGATAAATATGTAACATAAATTATATTTATGTAAATATAAACACAATGAGGAAATAGCATATACAGTATATATACATGTAACAAGGAGAAGATAGCAAGTGTTGATGAGGACGTGAAGGACTTAAAGCCCTTGTGCGTTGTGAGTGGGAACATGAAATTGTACGGCCACTGTGGAAATTAGTAGGGTGGTTCTTCAGAAAATTAACAGTAGAATTACCGTATGATCCAGCAATTATATGAGTATATGCTCAAAATAACTGAAAGCAGGCATTCAAAGAGATTTTTGTAAGCCGTGTTCACAGCAGCATTATTCACAAGAGCTACAAGATGGAAGAACCCAAGTGTCCACTGAGGGATGAATAGATAAGCAAAACGTGGTCCATCCACTCAGTGGAATAGTGTTCAGCCTTAAAAAGGAAGCAGGTCTGACTTCAACATGGATGAAGCATGAGGACATTATGGGGAGTGCCACAAGCCAGTCACAAAAAGCCAACTACTCTAGGATTCCACTGACGTGAGGTCCTTCAGAGACAGAGGTGGAAAGGTGGGCGCCAGGGCCGGGGGTGGGGGCTGGCAAGTCCGTGGTCATGGGGACAGGGTTTCGTTCTCCTAGGAATGGACAGAGTCCTGGAGATGGACGGTGGGGACGGCTGCACAACATTAGGAATACTTAGCACCACTGACCTGTACAGTAAAAAATGGTTAGGATGGTGGACTTGCTGTTATGTGTATTTGGCATCAATACAAATTGGAAAAAAAAAAAAAAAGGAAGGGCACGATCGCTCCATGAAGAGACAGGGAGGAAATTCACACACCTGTGAGTGAGTGAAAACAGCCAATCTGAGAAGTCTCCATGCTGTATGTATGTCCTACACTAGGACAGTCCGGGAAGGACCCAACTATGGAGACGGTAGACTGGCAGGTGCCAGGGGCTGCGGGGGAGGGGCAGGAGGAGTACAGGGGTTTTCAGGGGAGAGAGACCCACTGTGACGGGGTCTCTCCTCCAGCACTCTGACCCCCAAACCCAAACCTGGTGGCCTGGGTCCCCCCCGAGCTCCCAGGGCCATCTGTGAAACTTGGGGTGCTTAGAGCTCCACTGGGTTTGCCCTCCTGCATGAGGGCTGGAAATTCTCTCCAGCTGGTGGGAGCACCAACTGCAACATGCACCTTGCTCATTCCCCTCCCCCCGTGCTGTTCTGTGCTCCCCAGCCCTCCCGCGACCACACCACAGGGATCTGACACCCTGGCTTCATGATCTTGTCAATGTTCTGAGCTGGCCCAGGCAAGAAGGTATCCAGTCCCTATTACCCCGTCTTGACTGGAGCAGTGCCTCCCCCACAACACCACCTTTCCGAGAAATGGGTAGAGCCCCTGGGAGGACCCCAGGGGGACCCCAGGCCCATAGGGGCTGTGCTGCTTGCAGCCCCCAGGCCCGCTTGTCTGGGCCGGTTTGCCCAGCTGGGGCAGTGGGTGGAAACGGGCCAGGGGCTGAGAACCCCCAGACCACGACCCGTGTGCAGGTGCCCAGCCTCGGGAAGCCCTGGGCACTCAGGGCCCAGCAGCACTGACCGTCCTGGGCGAGGGCGTGACTCCCACCCCGGGGCCCCGCCCAGAGGAGTCCGGCCCCTGCCCTGTGCGATTTCTCAGTCCCGCATTCCTACAAATGTTCGCGGCGGGAGGAGACCAGTGTCTGGTCAAAAGCCTGGGATTCCCCCGCCCCCATGTGGGTCCGATGAAAGGAAGCAGATCCGTTGGCGAAGTGAGTTTATTGGGGAGCCCGAGGAGGTGCCGACAGGTCGGCAGTTGAGGCCAAGGGACCCGAGCAGAGAAACTGGGAGGGAAGGACAGGGGACCAGAACGGGTGTAGGCACCTCCCGGGGGGAGGCGGGGGCAGCATGCCTGGGAGCTAGGAGGTCAAGGTCAGGTCAGGAGAGTGGACACATGGGGGACCCCGTCCTGGGGTCAGGACTGGACTGAGGGGGCCTGGGAGGACCACCGTCACTGGGTGGGTCCTGAGCCCAGCTGGCCCCGGTGGGGACGTGCCCCGTCAGCAGCAGGACTTCTGGGCTGAGGTGGGCACACAGCAGGCCTGGCGGGGGCCCACGGGCCGGCAGAGCAGGGACACGCAGGAGGCCCGGCGGCAGCAGCTGGGGTGGCAGGAGGAGGCGGGCACGCAGCAGGCGGGCCTGCACACGGGCCGGCAGAGCAGGGACACGCAGGAGGAGGGTCTGCAGCAGGACGAGGAGCAGGGGCTGGGTCGGCAGCAGGAGGGGGGTGAGTAGGGGGAGGCCTCGCAGCAGACAGGGGTGCAGCAGAGGGGCTTGCAGCAGACGGACTCGCCACAGGCTTCCTGGCAGGGGGAGGAGCTGCAGCAGGAGGGCTGGCAGCTAGACTGTTGGCAGCATGAGGAGGCCGAGCAGGGGGAGGCCTGGCAGCAGACAGGGGTGCAGGAGACGGGTTTGCAGCAGGCAGGGGTGCAGCAGACGGGCTTGCAGCAGGCAGGGGTGCAGCAGATGGGCTTGCAGCAGACAGGGGTGCAGCAGACGGGCTTGCAGCAGACAGGGGTGCAGCAGAGCGGCTTGCAGCAGGCAGGGGTGCAGCAGACGGGCTTGCAGCAGACAGGGGTGCAGCAGAGCGGCTTGCAGCAGACAGGGGTGCAGCAGAGGGGCTTGCAGCAGGCAGGGGTGCAGCAGAGGGGCTTGCAACAGACAGGGGTGCAGCAGAGGGGCTTGCAGCAGGCAAGGGTACAGCAGAGGGGCTTGCAACAGACAGGGGTGCAGCAGATGGGCTTGCAGCAGGCAGGGGTGCAGCAGAGGGGCTTGCAGCAGACAGGGGTGCAGCAGAGGGACTTGCAGCAGACAGGGGTGCAGCAGAGGGACTTGCAGCAGACAGGGGTGCAGCAGAGGGGCTTGCAGCAGGCAGGGGTGCAGCAGAGGGGCTTGCAGCAGGCAGGGGTGCAGCAGACGGACGCACCGCAGGCTTCCTGGCAGGGGGAGGAGCTGCAGCAGGAGGGCCGGCAGGAGCTGGTGCAGGCTGATTGGCAGGGGCTGGACCCGCAGCTCACGGGGGTGCAGATGAGGGTCAGGCAGGAGGCCGGGGTGCAGCCGCTGGACTGGCAACAGCTGGGGGTGCAGCAGGGGGGGGTGCAGCAAGGGGGCTCGCAGCAGCTCTCTGGGCAGTCGTCCACCTGCCAGGAGGAGTCGGGGCAGGAGTCCCAGGAGCCGGGCAGGGAGACGCAGCTGCCGCAGCTCAGGTCACTGGAGCAGACGGACAGGGTGGACGCGGTCATGGTGGGGGCGGTGGGGCTGGAGGAGGGTGTGCGTGTGAGTGTGAGTGTATGTGAGTGTGTGAGGTGCTCGGGGATGCAGGGCTTTTATATCCACTGCTGCCCGGTGTTTTCCCCACAGGAGGCTCACATGTCCCCTTCCTTGTAGGGGTCCCCGTGGGCGAGGGAAGCCTAATTAGATGAGTCAGTGGCCTGGAGGTAGGTTGACGGCCGCCTGACTTCGGTTTGGCCCTCGGGGAAGCTGGTGCGGGTGGTGCTGCGGACAAGCCATTCCACCTGCAGGTGCCCTGGTCGTGGGCCAGGAGAAATGTGTGTCCATGACTCTGTGGAAGACGCTCGTGGTGGCCCGTGGTGGGACCGCCTGTGTCTGTGCAGGGTCCAGGGTTATGGCGGAGAAAGGTGCAGACCTTCTCTTGCTGCCTCGGGGAGGGCTGGGAGGATGTCAGGTCCCTCGGTGGGGAGGCCATGTGCTGGGCAGAAGTAGGGGGGTGGTGTACCGAGACCCCTGATGTTACCAGGAGTCTTTGGATCGCTGGTCTTTCACACCCACACCTCGACCGAGGCATGGGTGGGAGGGTCCCAGGAGGGTCCCAGGGCATAGACGGCTGTCCTGGGAGGGAGGCAGGGGCGGGTCTTTCTCTTGCTCTCACGGGAGCATAGTGCCCGTCGTGGGGAGCAGGTCCTAGCTGTCTCGGAAGCAGCGCTGACCATGCAGGACAGTTCTCGGAGACTTTGGTGATTCTGTGGCATAGACCTGGGGACTGGGCAGGTCCCTGGTGTAAGCTCGAGGAGGGACGGGGCCAACAGTGGGTGCCACTCTGCAGCTCGCTCTGCAGGTAACCCCAGGGCAGCCACTACCATCCGCCCGTAAACAGCTGAGTCTCCGGGAGAGATTCCTAAATGTCTGTCCCAGGGCGCTTCGCTCCAGACCACACATCCTGACACGTCCACGTACCGCCCGCGCTCCCCCGAACCCAGCTCTGCCCCCGGGGTCTTTCTGTGGGAAGGAGTCACCAGGCCGGCACACTGGGTTCCCGAGCCAGAACCTCGGTGTCCCCCCGAGTCCTCCCCGCTCTGCTCACTTTGGCGTCTTGGCCATCCTTGCAATCTGTCAGCCTGGTGGACACCACACCCCCTTCCTGCACCCCAGAGTGGCCAGTTCTTTCCCACTGAGACCCGTTCGCCCCGATGCTGCCAAAAGGATCTTCCCGTGGAACAAATCAAACCCGGCACCTCCCGCGACCGCACCACGTCGTTTCGTCTGTCAGGCTCTTCAAGACAGACACGGCTGGAATCGGCCGTCCCACTGCATGCCTGGGACCGCGCACCCCAGCTCTGCTGGACTGTCCGCTCCGAGAACGCCCCACGCCTGCCCTCGTAGCTGGCCATCTGCACACTCTCCCCTGCCCAGAATTCTTCCTGGGATTCCAGCCTCCAACTGAGCCAAGCCTCCCACTCCCTGACGGCGAGAGGGCATCGTCCCGTCCATCTGCCGCCTGGATCTGTTGTGACCCCCACCATACAGCCCTGCGGCCATGCTAGAATGTAGGCATCTCGCGGGCAGTGACCTTGTCTGTCTTGCCGACCACGGTGCCCAGCACGGGGTCTCCCAGGCGGGGCTGGCCACGTCTGCTCAGCCACAGAGCACCAGAGAGGCGGCTGGGACAGCAGACATTCCAGCCTCGGAGGCGGGGCTCTGAGATCAAGGTGTCCGCTGGCCAGCTCTCTCTGAGGCCTCTCCCCTCCACATGGACACGGCCATCTCCCCTCATGTCCTCACGGCCGTCCCGGTGTGCGTGTCTGCGTCCTCCTGTTCTCATAGGGGCACCAGTCAGATTGAGGAAGGGACCCAACTGACACAGACTGAATGTTTGTGTCCCCCAAAACGTGCAAGGTGAAATCTGAACCACGAAGATGATCAGGCCATGAGGGTTCAGCCTCACATGGGGATCAGTGTCCCCACGAGCTCCCCCGCTGCTCCCCGCCCCCTCTGCAGCTCAGACCGCTCCTCTCGGGCAGCCCACCAAACCCAAGTGCGAACGGAGCTGAGATGTCCAGGTTGCAGCTCCTCAGTCTGGACAGAAGAAAACCCACGTCCTCTACGGGAAGAAGTCTCCATCAGAGGCCTCCACGTGCCCACAGAGGCTTTCCCAGGACAAGACCATTTCTCCCCCCAGACAAGGAGGCACCAGGGAAGAAGACAGTGAGCGAGAAGCCGCAGACGTTCCAGAAAGCTGTGGTGGCCACGCGGAGACTTCAAACTCGGCAGGTGCCATCAAACACAGACAGGGTCTGTTGTGCGGGCAGGACGGGCTCTCGGGGGCTCTGTGGGGCTGGGTGCAGAGCAGTGCTGCTGGGAGGAGGGGGAGGACCCACAGAGGCCCTAGCACGGAAGGAGTGGGTGGGCCCAAGATGAACCGGCTCAGACAGGGCCGAGGAGGCCAGAGGCCAGGTGGGTGGGTGTGGCTGTTCACAGAGCCGAGCTCACACAAGGCGGACATGGCTCCAGGACCGAGTCAAGGGACAGGACACGCCTTGTGCCACGCTCAGGGGGACCCCATGTTGGGGACTGGCCAGCCAGCCACCCTGGAGTCACGGTGCTCTGGGCCAGGAAACGCTCTCCATGGGACACCTGCTTCCTTCTGACCTCGGGTTCCTACATCACAATGTTGCACGGTTTCCCTCAAATGTGGCCAGAGGGTGTGTGGGGCCTCCCAGACAAGGCCGTTTTCCACTGGGGGCCATCCATGGCCCAGACAAGGCCTGCACCCTCCAGGGGAGGCACCTGCCCAGCACTGGCCCTGCAGGGACAGTGGGAATCCCTCCTCCCTGTTTCTTCCAATACTTGAATTCCTGAGTCAAGTGCCCAACAAGACCCACCATTCCCAATACCCCTCTCCCCCTGGCCGTTGGTCCCTGTGATAGTTAATTCTATGTGTCCTTTTGGCCAGGCCATCATGCTCCATTGTTTGTTCAAACGCACACAGATGTTGCTGAGAAATTTTTTAGATGAAATTAGTATTTAAATCAGTCGACTCTGAGTGAAGCAGGCTATCTGCCCTTCAGCAGGTGAGCCGCGCCCAATCAGCTGAAGGACGTAGGAGCTGAGTGGGCCCCCCAGGAGGAAGGGAAGCTACCAGCACCCCGTCTTCTGGCTCAAGCAGCAGCCTCTCCACTCTCCCTGGGAAGCCCACCCTGCAAATCTCAGACGTGCCAGGCTCCACAGGCACATGAACCAATTCCTCAAAATCCATGTCTCTGTTACATATATGCGCACATCCTGTCGGCTGCTACCCTGGACAACCCTGCCTGACGCAGGCTCTGGTCATCCCTGCACACAGCGCTCACGCTCCCGGTGTCCTCCCGTGGAGGGAAGCCCCGCCCCTGTGCGGAGGGTCTCTGGAGAGAGACCTGCCACCCTCTTGCCCAAAGCCAGTCCTGGAGCAGCCTTCATGCCTTCAAGGCAGAGGCTTTATTAAACGGGCTCTCCTTTGTCCCTAGCAAAGCTCCACAGCCCTGAGATGTAAGGCTCAGGGGCTGGACAGGTGGCCCTGTGGCCCTCACTGGTGAAGGTATCCAGGGGCACCCAGGGGTCTCCCAGGTGGGCAGGTTTCTCTGTGCTGGAGGCTGCAGGGGGACAACAACCACAGAAGGCCCAGCAGCGGGCGCAGGTGGCCAGCCCTACCCAGGGTGCTGTTGCCTTGGATGCAGGCCTGCCCACTTGCAGCATCCAAGCCCTTCCCTGTGGTTTGCTGCGATAAGCATTCGAGGCCTTTGGAGAAGGATTGACAATGACTTTATTCATCAACAGACAGGTCACTCACATAGGGCAAGACAAAGCGACCTCAGTCCAGCCAGGATGGAGAGGAGGAGGCTGGGTGAGACACAGCGCCCGGAGGGAGCCAGAGGCTACCCAGGGAGCCAGCCAGATAGGGAGCGCTCGGCCTTGCTTGCTGAGCTGGGTGCTCTGGGGCAAAGGAAACCCCAGCCTGGGCTCAAGGCTTCTGATATTTCAGGTGGAAGTACGAGTTGGCCTTACTAGCTATGGGGGGACGTGCCCGTCAGCAGCAGGACTTCTGGGCCGAGGTGGGCACACAGCAGGCCTGGCGGGGGCCCACGGGCCGGCAGAGCAGGGACACGCAGGAGGAGGGTCTGCAGCAGGACGAGGAGCAGGGGCTGGGCCGGCAGCAGGAGGGGGCTGAGCAGGGGGAGGCCTCGCAGCAGACAGGGGTGCAGCCGACGGGCTTGCAGCAGACAGGGGTGCAGCAGACAGGAGTGAAGCAGAGGGGCTTGAGGCAGACAGGGGTGCAGCAGACGGACGGACCGCAGGCTTCCTGGCAGGGGGAGGAGCTGCAGCAGGAGGGCTGGCAGCTAGACTGTTGGCAGCATGAGGAGGCCGAGCAGGGGGAGGCCTGGCAGCAGACAGGGGTGCAGCAGACGGGCTTGCAGCAGACGGACGCGCCGCAGGCCTCCTGGCAGGGGGAGGAGCTGCAGCAGGAGGGCTGGCAGCTAGGCTGTTGGCAGCATGAGGTGGCCGAGCAGGGGGAGGCCTGGCAGCAGACAGGGGTGCAGCAGACGGACGTGCCGCAGGCCTCCTGGCAGGGGGAGGAGCTGCAGCAGGAGGGCCGGCAGGAGCTGGTGCAGGCTGATTGGCAGGGGCTGGACCCGCAGCTCACGGGGGTGCAGATGAGGGTCAGGCAGGAGGCCGGGGTGCAGCCGCTGGACTGGCAACAGCTGGGGGTGCAGCAGGGGGGCTCGCAGCAGCTCTCTGGGCAGTCGTCCACCTGCCAGGAGGAGTCGGGGCAGGAGTCCCAGGAGCCGGGCAGGCAGACGCGGCTGCCGTAGCTCAGATCGTTGGAGCAGACGGACAGGGTGGACGCGGCCATGGCGGGGGCGGTGGGGCTGGAGGAGGGTGCGTGTGTGTGTGTGTGTATGAGTGTGTGTGAGGTGCTCAGGCTGCTGGCTTTTATACCCCCCATGAGTGTGTGTTGTCCCAACAACAGGCTCAGTGAAGCCTTTCCTTCCTTGTTGGTGTTTAGTGTTGTGCTCTCTTCCCGGTGCTGGGTCACTGTCTGAATGCCGCTGGCTTGTGAGGCTCCTGAGTGGAGTTCAGGCTATCCTGACCTGTGTTTGTCCCCAAAGGAAAGACAGTAGAAGTGCTCTGATGCTTTCGTAGAGACCACAGAAATCAGGTGATTTTCTGAAAGTGACAGTCTGTGTTCCATCCCATGGTGGGGGTGGGGGTGCCCTTCTAACCCAAGGGAAGGGATGAGGATAGAGCAATCCTAGAATTTGTGCTCCGAGCAAAGGGAGAGATGCCCAGCTGTGGACAGGGCTGACGATGCTCAGCCAGCCTGGTCTTGGGGCAGGATGCACTTCGTGGGTTGATGTTGCTGGTTGTAGTGGTGTTGATGGGCCACATGTCTCCCAGGAGTGAGTTCGGGGCAGGTGTGAAGAAAGTGTCCTGGGAACAGACACTGGCTCACAGAAGGGGCCACAGTCGTGGATGCAGGCTAGCACAGTAGGCATGACCACGATGGGCAATGCATTTGCTTCATTGCTTCATGCCCCAGTGCTTGGTTCCACACCTGAGACCTGGTGAGTACACAGCATCTGGCATGGTCCCTCATGTCCTCATGGACACTTGGCCACTATACTCTGCCAAGTCTCTGAAGGGGCAAGGGCAAGGCCCTTGGTGATGCTCTGAGCTGCAGGGTTCCATCAAGGGCTTGTTGGGGGCCAGTGGGATTCAGGGTTGAAAGCCTCACTGTCCTCTGATGGGTGGGACTGGGGGATGTCCTGGGGGCCACATGATAGTCAGTCCTCAGTGGAGAAATGTTATTCTCTCAAAGACTAATGGCTTAAAACCTTCCAAATCTATTGAAAAACTTTAATCTACACATCCAGGAAGCTCAATGCACTCCAAATAAGTTGTCAATCAGGAATCCTCCATCCAACAAGGTTATTTTCTACAAATGAGTCCAAATACATTCCCAGATAAATAAAAACTGAGGGATTTTGATGTTGGAAGACCCACCTTATAAGACGCACTGAGGGGAGTCTCTCAGGCTGAAAGTAAGCGACCCCAGTCGGGAATTCTGATCCACAGGAGGACGTGAAGCACGCCAGTCAAGGTGGTCATGTGATTACAACAGAAGGTGCGGACCGTGTTTTTCTCCTTCATTGAGTCTTATGTCATTTGCTTCTCTGACTAAAGAGCTGCCTACAACAGGATGCACGTACTGCATTGCGGGGCCTGTGGTGTGATGTGATGTATTAGACAATACAAGGGAGGCGGATGGGAGCAAAGCTGTGTCGGGCGGAGGAAATGACCGCAGATGGCAACTCGGATCCACAGGAACGTGTGAAGGGAACCAGAAACGATAAAAAGGCGAGGAGAACAAAAGCTATAAGTATAATACTTGCTTTTCTGTCTCCTCTCAGCTTTTTAGAAGTCATAAAAGCATATTAGGTAATAATTATAACAATATATTGAGGGGTTTTTAACATTGACAAGTGGAGTATATGTACAGCAAGACCATGAAGGGACAAGAAGAGGATGGAGCTCTGTACAAAAAGGAGCATGTTTTTACATCACTGGAACTGACTTAGTGTAAATTGGAAGTGGATTCTGCTAAGTTAAAATAAACATATGGAAGCCCCAGAGCAAAACTAAGAAAAACTAAAAAAAAAATAGTGAGAAATCATTAAAGAAATAAAAATGCTGCTTAAGAAAATATTCGCTAAGTGCAAAAGAGTGCACCAAAGGAGGACGAGAGGAACACACACAAAAAAGACATGAGACACAGAGGAAGCAAGATAGTGAAGCCACCGGCAAGATCCAACTGCTGCCCATTCACACCACTGGCTGCAACCGTGTTACGGAAAACCACCTCACACGCTGGATTAGCAAATATTGACCCATGTCTCCTAGGGGAACGAGAGTTAGCTTCCTGTGTGCCCTGGTCCCATTTTCATCAACCGATCAATACAGAGCCTCCTTTTATGTGTGCCTAGGAAAAACGCAGTGTCTTCCTTCACATGTAATGCTTCTGACACCAGGTGTGTGGGTTTTTCCCACCAACCAGCTCTCTAACACCCGCTGGGGTCCCACAATTCAGTTTTATTCCGACACTAACCTAGTGCAGAACCCCAGGTTAAGAGCTCAGACCCATGTGATTGGCCCCACTTAAGATGCCAGCAGTAGATGCCCAGTTACCCACAACTTCTGTCTGACTCAGCTACAAATCACAGGTTCCTATGAACTCCTCCGTGGGTTCCATATTTTGCTAAAGCAGCTCACAGAACCCAGGAAAAGAGCTGACTTCCTTTTGCTGACTTATTGCAAGGGATATTTTTAGGATACAGACAAACAGCCACATGGAGGGATACGGAGAGTGAGGTCTGTAGGGGTCCTGAGCAAAGGAGCTTCTCTCCCCGTGGGATTGGGGTGCGCCACCCTCCTGGCATGTGGACATGTTCACCAAAATAGAAGTTCTCAGAATTCCATACATTTGGGATTTTTATGGAGGCTTCATCATGCAGGCATGATTGATTATTAACTCAATTTCTAGCCCCTCTCCTCTTTCCCGAGGATGGGGATGGGGCTGAAAGCACCAAGCTTCTAATCAAAGCTTGGTCTTTCTGGTGAGCAGCCCCCATCCTGAAGCCACTAAGAATCACCTCGTTATAACAAAAATCATTCCTACCACCCAGGAAGTTCCAAGGGATTTAGGAACTTGATGTCAGGAACTAGGGTCAAAGACCAAATATTAGCAAGAACCAGGGACAGAGGCATATATATTTTTAATTATATATATATATATATATGTCAATATACATTATTATTTCACAGTGAATACTTAATATTCATTGCTGACGCTTTAACACTGAAGTCACTTCCCAATAGCAACATAACTCACTCCTGAACGAAGCTTATTTAACACATGTATTTTCCCTGTGAGGCACATCACAGCCTTCTTGCACTTAGGATACCATTTCAAACAGTGACATCACCAATAAGAAGCACAAGAGCATGGAAAATGTGGCACTAAATAGACAGCACAAGATACTTGTTTGCAGCATGAGCTGAAACAAGAGGTGGAGCTGTTTGACCTCAGTTGGGAACCCGCGTGTGGGGACACCCAATGTTTGCTGCTCTATGCATGTCCATGAAGGACTGTGAAGGCACAGTGAGTATTGACTTTGAGGTTACAAATCAATTTTAGTGAGCAAGTGAAGTTGCAAATGCAAAATCCACGAATAATGAGGATCAACTATGTATCAATAATAACATTAATTGCGAATTAATTAATACAACCGAAGGGAAGATTGTTAGACTGGATAAAATTGAGATTAAACTATACACTCATTACAGGAGACACACTCTAGAGTAGAAGATAGAGCTAGATTGAAAGTAAAAGGATAGAAAAAGATATATCATGGAAACAGCAGCCATAATAAAATGTTAATATTTTACTAACACCAGATAAAGTAGACTTCAAAACAAAAATTGTTACTAGAGACAAAGAGCGACATTTTTAATAATAAAAATGTCAATCCATGAAGAATATGTAATAATTATAAACATATATGCAAATAATAACAGCACCAAAATACACAAAGCAAAAGCTGACAGACATAAAGGAAAAAATAAACAATAATATTAGTTGAAGACCTCAATATCCCAATTTCAACAATGGATGGAACAACTGGAGAGAAGATCCAGGACACAAGGAACGGCACTATAAACCAGCAAGACCTCACAGACATCTGTCAGACACCTCAGCCAACAACAGCAGAATATCCTGCTTCAGAAATGTGCACAGCATATCCTCTAGGATAGAACATAGGCTAAGCTGTAAAACAAACCCCAATGTGTTAAAATGGATAGAACACTAAGTATGTTCTCTGACCACAATGGAGGAACACAAAGTATGTTCTCTAATCACACTGGAGTGAAGTTAGAAATTAGTAACAGAAAAAAATTGGGATTCATAAATTAAACAGCACACTCCTAAATAACCAAAAGGTCAAAGAAGAATCAAAAGGGAAATCATAAAATACTTTTAAATGAAAGAAAATGAAGAACAAAGTACCAAAACTTACAGGATACAGCTAAAACACTTCTTAGAGACTTATAGCTAGTAAGTACATATATTAAGAAAGAAGAAAGGTCTCAAATCAATAACTTAAACTTCCACACTGCAGACAAGCAGAAGGAAGGAAATAATAAAGAAAAGGGCACAAATAAGTGAAACAGAGAATAGAAAAACAATAGAGAAAAATCAATAAAACAGGCTCTTTGAAAAAAATCAATAAAATTGATAACACTTTAGCTACACTGATCATGAAAAAGAGAGAAAGAGAAGGAGAAGACTCAAATGATGAGAATCTGAAATGAAAGAAGGGTCACTGATGTCAGCCTCACAGAAATAAAAAGGATTACAGAGAAATGCTATGAACAACTGTATGCCAATAACTTATATAAATTAGATAAAATGAATAAATACTTAGGAACAAGATAACTGCAAAACTAGTGCTCTGAAAGCTATAGAACATCATTTTTGTTTTGTTAAAGAAAATCTAAATCTGTGGGAAAACATCTCTGTTCAAGGATGAGAAGAGCTGACACGTGAGTATGGCAGTAATCTCCCATTTACGTATTTATGCAATCCCTATCAGAATCCAAGCGACTTCTTAGTACAAATTGACAAGTTGATGTTAAAATTAATATGGAATTGCAAGGAATGCAGAATAAGCCAAAACAATCTTGAATAAGAGCAAATTTGGAAGACTTGCATTCCTCAATTTCAAAATTTACTACAAAGCTAGGCATCAAGACAGTGTGCCGTTGGCATAAGGTTAGACAATAAATTGGTATTTA